CCCCCAACCATAAAATTATTTTCGTTGCTACTTCATAACTAATTTTGCAACTGTTAGAATCAGGCGACCCCTGTGAAGGGGTCATTCAACCCGGAAAGGGGTTGCGACCCGCAGGTTGAAAACCACTGTGCTAGAATGTAATCTGTGTAGAAAACAAGTGCAGCAAGCACATGGCACAGGAACTTGACTGACACTGTGTGAGACTGTGCCGTGTTTAAGATGGAGGCCGGCTTTGCTGCTTTGAATGTGCGGCTGTCCACAGCCCTGCAGATACAGCAGTCTCACCCTCAGGTCACTGAAAAGGGCTCACTAGGCCTTTTCCGAGTCCCACATTTCAGTAGGGCTCTGACCATAATTTTTCCTGTTGTGCCTCAACCAAATTTTATGCTTAAAATGTCAATAACAAAACAAGAATGTTTGTTTTGTTCACTGATAGGCTACGACATGGTGCTCGGTAGGCATTTAGGAAATACGTATTGAATGACCTGTGTGAATGAAAGAAAGTGCTTAAAATTTCCTTCTCTAAAATGCACCATGTTTTAACCTACTTAATTAGATTTTATTTGTTAATGCTATATATATTGTTTTAGAATTTCTTCAGTCTTTTCTAGAACAAGTGAAATTTGAAAATAATCATAAAGTATTTTGTACTAAAAATGTAACTTCTAAACAACACCAGTAAAAGAAATTACACTTCTTTTCAAGTTCTCCAAAAATATCAGAGTTAATCCTGTTAAAATACTAGAAGTAGCTATAAGAAGGGTATGTAAGGCACTGCCATAACACCTCCTGTTCTTGATTGAAGTGATTGTGGAGCTTGCTGTAGGTGGTCAGGTGAGCTGGAGTATCTTAAATCCCAATTGAATAGAATTTGGGGTTTTTCTGTGCTTTAAACACCTCTAAACTGTTGATACATTTAAATACAAGAGATACAGAGTCTTTAAAAAGATATCGCAAATAAATAGAATTAATTTTTCCACATTTGTCTTCATAATTTTAGAAGCCTGGTAGTAATTGTTGTATGTCTTCAGATTAGTGGTTATTTTTATTATGTATTCAAGAATAAAAAAATAATCAATTTTATTTATGAGACCCAGCTATTTATAGCAGTTTTGGAGCTCATTAATTTTATAAGCCAAGGAATGTAAAATAAGCATTCTATTCCTATTTCCATTTACTACTTTTATATATGCCTTGATTTGTATGTTTTACATACCGTTTTTAGTGTAAGTTGAATCAGAATTATATTGAACACTAAAACTATCATCTGATCTATCCATCAGTGAATCTGTTTTAGTCTGCCAAACTTATCGTTAAGCAATTCTTTTTCCTAGTTTTATTCAGACTATAAAAAGTTGACAAACATAATTTTCATAAATATAAGATAAATCATTTTATCTTAGCTAAATTATTTTAATTATTAGAATATTTTCAGATTGGATTATCATGTCAGCTGGAATCATAGAAACACACATAAACCGGAAGACGTTGACACGGAAACTTCTACAACTCTCTTTTGTTTGTATTATAGAATTTGGATTGTGGGTACTAGTACCTTTCTCCAGTATTTCTAAATCCTATTCCCAAGAGTGGTAGACATCAACTTTGTAGATCTTTTATAGGAAAGCCAATTAGTGGAAGATTGAATATGATGGCAGTGTCTTTCTTCTACCAGGTGTACTCCCTGCCCTTTCCCCCCATCCTATCTGGTTAATGGATGGATCATCTTTGAGCCTTGGGCTCAAACTAATCAGAGAGGTTGACCAGAAACTTAAGTTGTGGGCCGGTAATATCTGTTTCAAAAATGAGGTTTGAGTAGCCATCCGTAGATAAATGAGTTCAGAAGGAATGACTATTGTCAGTTACCTTTTGAGTGGAATGAACTACCGAGTACCGGTAGTTTGTTTCTCTGAACATATTTTTAAAAAGAGATTAAAAAAAAAACAAGCCACTCTTATGTTGGAGTATGGTCACTGCCAATGCTTAAAAATAAATATCAACAAGGTCAGTGCTAGGCATTGCATCGGGCAGTACTTAATTAGATGTAATTTCTCCACCTCTATGATGTTACAGACTAATTGCAAGATAGACAAGTGCTCACGAAAATGAAACACAATTCAGTACAGTGCTCAGGCCTGTAAATGAGATTCGGGAGAGCTCTTAAGAGGGGGCGTTTCAGGTGCATACCTCTTGGGCAGATGGCAAGGTCAATCTCTGTGTGCCAGATAAATGCACTTTGGGGAGTAGAATCAACAACGTCCTCACAAAGGTACTATATGTACGATGGCTAATTTAGCTGGCTGTTCACCCTTGCATTTTTGTACCAGAAATGTGACAGAGTAAGGTGAGCGTTTGCATTCCTCTTGCTACATCACTCTTGCTTTTTACTAGTTTTGTGTGGATCAAAGAATTATAATCAGACTCCCGTCAGCTAGTATTCTACATATGAAGGAACCTTAGGAAGTTGGTAGAAAAATTCCATTATCTTGTCATTTCATCAAGTCACTTCTTCTCACTCATCATGGCCCATACAGGGTTTCTAGTACTGCAAATATTTATTGGAACAGAGACCATTTTAATTTAATATAATAAATAATAAATGATCATTGTAACGTCCAAAATGTTTGACTGTATTTTCCCTTTTTCGTTTAATCAATTGGGTAATACGAGTGTCATGGTGACTAAAGGGTGTTTTTTCATGTCCTCTATGCTCTAACTATGAAAATATTTGATTTACAAATAAGGAATCCTACTTCGCGGAATTTCATTTATCACGGTAGGGTCTAGAACCGATTAACTGCGATAAATGAGGGTTCACTGTATATAGAACCAAACCTGTTGCCATTGAGCCAAATCTGATTCATTATGCTATAAGTATTTTAATTTAAGGAAGTATAAATATTAAAATAGAGCATTATGTATTCACAATATTTAATGTATAACAAAGTATATTTCAAATTTAAAATGTTAAGTTCTGTATTGTTGTTATTAGTTACCATTCAGTTGGTTACAAAGCACGCAATCCCATCTGTTTAATGTAGAACTGCTCTAAAGGGCTGAGAAGCAGATTGCCAAACTTTTCTTCTGAGGTGCTTCTGGGTAAAATGTAGTTTACTTAGAAATGCTGTCTGCTTAATGGACACCAGAGCAATCAAGAAAGGTATACTTTGTTCCGTTTTAGTAATAGATGTAACATGTTGTAAAATCAAATTTATTGAGAAATACTTGAGATATTTTACGATTAACGTACGGAACTTTCCCATCACTCCAAAAGGATTTCTCATTCCCCTTTGTAGACATTCCTAGAACGTTCCCACCTGTCCCCACATAGTCAGCGATCTTCTTTCTGACATAAACAGCTAGTCTTGTCTTTCTGGAGTTTCATATGAACAGAGTCGTAGAATCCATAACCTTTTGTGTTTGGCTTCTTTTTCTCAGCATATCCGTTTTGAAATTCACCCACATTGTTGTTTTTATTAGTAGTTTTCCTTTGTATTGTTGGCTAAAATTACCGTACATTGTTTAAATGTCCTACACTTTGTCGATGCAGTCTCCTGTTAGATAATTGGGATGTTTCCAGGTGTTGACTCTTGTGAATAAAATTGTGAACATATGGGTACATTGCTGTTATTTTTCCTGAGTTAGGTATAAGAGTAGAATTGCTCAGCAGTATGAAAAGTATATGTTTAATTTGCTAAGCTTCTCTTCCAAATGGCTTTACAGTTTGCATTTTCACTGGCAGTGTTGAAGTGTTCCTCTTACTCGGAATCTTCACTGGCCTTTGATAGTCTTAGCCTTTCTAGTTTTAGTTGCTGTAGTGAATGTGTAGCTGTAATATAAAATTTTAAATATTTACATCCTAAGTAGTTAAAATTAAGGAAAAGCTCGTAGTTGCATGATGATAAGCGTTTTGTTACGTATAAAATTTGGCAGTTTTAGACACTTTGCTAAAAATTGTGTATAATGGTCATTTCCAAACAATATAAAATTGTGCCTCATGCATTTCTGTTCTTTTGCGGGGGGGGGGTACCCCCTCATATAAATTATTTCCATTTTACAAAGAATTCCATGCATGAGACACAGAGAACATATTCCACAGGGTTAGCAAGCACTTGAATGAATACAGTGAGAGAAGAGGGAGAGTTAGAGCAAAGGAAGGATAATTGGAAAAAGGAAGTTGACCTGGTTTCTGCATTACTGATTATGTGGAATAGACTGAAAATGTTAAACCTGACTCAGATGACATTGTATTATGAAAAAATAAAACTGTTTATTTCAAATAAATTAACTGACTCCTAAGTTTTCTATAGTGAATTGTAATTTAAATTTTGGGTCACTTTAATAAGTTTTTTGCCTTGTAAAATTTCAGTGTTATTAGCGTGGGGATGAAATGCTTTAAAACATCTGCCATCATAAGGATTTAAAAACATCAATTGTGTTATAGATGGAATTATGTCCCCACCAAAACATGTTATAAATTCTAATCCCTGTATCTGTGGTTATGATTTCATTTGCAATGGGTTTTCTTTGTTATATGAATGTAGCAGTTTCAAAATAGGGTGTTATTTTGAGCCCTTTGCCTTTGAGATATACAAAGAACAAACCAGGCCAGAGAAGTGAGTACAGATGGAGAGGAAGAGATGCTAGGCTACATGAAAATCATCAAGGAACAGAGGAACAGATGTGGACAGAGACAAGGACCTTTCCACCAAGCGGACAGAAAGCCTTCTGCTGGTGCTGGTGCCCTGAATTGGGACTAAACAATGAGAGAATAGATTTCTGTTCAAGCCGTATACTTGTGATATTTCTATTGTAATGGCACTACATGACTAAGACCCAGAGGAATGAAACAAGTCATATGTAATACAGCTGTAACTCAGAATCTGATATGTGAATCACAATGCAATATTTGAATTCTTTTTTCTTCGCAGGAAAATTATAGTCAAAAGAAAAAGGAACTGTGGGGAGTCTGTATATTTATTGCCTCAATTGATCTGGATGAGATGCCATTCACTTTTACTGAGCTACAGAAAAACATAGAAACCAGGTAAAATTTCTTAAATCAATATAGGTCTCTACCATTAAGGGAAGCTATTTCTTAGTAGACTTAAAGGAATTTGTGGGAAATGCTACAAGTAAATAAAACAATGAGCTTGGGACAAATAATGTACTATTATTCTTTCACACGGTGGTAAAGAACTGCGTTTATGGTTTGCTTAAAAAGGTAGATGTTTGGTCCCCAGAAAATACTCCTCTTGTTTCTCATTTTTCATCTACAAATTTTCTTAATTGGAAAGGTTGATAAACTGGACCCAAAAAAGCAAAAAATTGCTTGCATGTAATATTAATGATTCAAATAATGTCCACATTCTGTTGGGTCACCTTTCCTTGGGATGGGTACACATACAGATCTTGTCTAGTCAGTTGGCAAAGTAGTTATTTTCCAAATTTCTTGACACAGACAAGTGAGTGCTTCCAGTGCTTCATCGACTCAGTGAAACATTTCTTAGTTTAAGTTTATTAAATAAAATAACAATTTATATATTAAGTATACATTAAATATACATTACATTAAATTTATATATTTAGTATTAGTGGGTGCCCCTAAATATCCGATGCTCATTTGTTTTCTAGATAGTGCATTTGGAGTTTGTTCTATCAGGTCAGACTGTTGATTTAATCAAGCTTTCTATTTAGAACTTCCGAAAAGATTGCGTAACAAATTGCGACAAAAAAGGCCTGATTTGTGGCAGATGGGACTGGCTTTACCAGCATGACAATGCACCTGCTGATACAGCGATCTCAGTGTGCCAGTTTTTGGCAAAAAACAGCATGCATCTCTTGCCCCACCTACCTTACTTGCCTGCCCTTGCTCCGTGCGATTTCTTTTTGTTTCCGCGAATGAAGAGGGACATGAAAGGACAATAATTTGATGATGTAGAAGAGGTGAAGAAAAAAAATGAGGGAGGTGCTGTCAGCCATTCAAACAGATGAGTTTGAAAAATGTTTCCAAGAATGGAATTGCAGATTTGATGAATGTATCAAGTGTGATGGAGAGTACTTTGAAGGCGATAAGGTTGTTTTGTAAAAAAATTTAAATACTTAGCTTCGAAATAAAAATTCTGGTGGGTTTTTTTGTTTTGTTTTGTTTTGGATACCCCCTTGTAATTCAGTTGAAAAAAATTTTGAAAAATACAGGTAACTTTCTATATTTATTCATTCATTCAATAAACTTTTCAGTGGCCCACAAGAGTAACTCTGAAAGAATATAGATTTGGGGATTAAGGTAGATTTGAGGTTAAAATATAGTTAGACTTTGCCCTTTTACAAGCTAATGGAGCAAATTGCTTAACCTGGCTAAGTGTCAGATTTCTCATCTGTGAAATGGAAATTATAATTTATAATGGATAGAGAAGTAAATCATCCATAGAGTTGATGCTTGTAATACCAAGGCATTGACCAGAAGATAATATCTTGTATCCAAAGCAGAATCAGTGTACTTGAATTGGGGTGTTGGAAAAGTATATTGAAAGTACCATGACTGCTAAGAAGGTCAACCAGATTTATCTTGGAATAAGTATGGCCTGGGTGCTCCTAAGAGTCAAGGATGGCAAGGCTTGGTCTTATATGTACTTTGGACATGTCAGGGAAGAAGAATGGGTTTTCCATAACACTCAATTGTGTTCATGCTGAACTTCTACATACATTAAGAGATATGCTAGTGATTTTGTGCATAGCTAATATTTTAAAGATTGAGATATATATGCTTTGGAAATGAAATAACATTTTTTAAGATACCGATTGTACTTTTTCTCTTTATAGTGTCAATAAATTCTTTGACTTGCTAAAAGAAATTGATACCAGTACCAAGGTTGATAATGCCATGTCAAGACTGATGAAGAAATACAATGTGTTGTGTGCACTGTACAGCAAACTGGAGAGGTAAAGTAGAGCTAGTAGAGTTACAGTCGGATTTTTCAAACTAGTTGTTGGTTGTGTTTTGATTCCTTGTGGGAGCTGTTTCAATATTTTAGCTGAATAAGCAATTATGTAGCCTAACAAGGGAGAGGGGGAAGAAGCCCGTCCTTAGATGTTCTGAGGATAGCTAGGATGGTGGGAGAGCTGAGGGAAAACACAAGTAATTTCTTAGGAAAATGCTTCTGTTTTCCCTTATTCTGGTTGGCATGTCACTAGAACTACAGAGGTGTGATTCTGAAAAACCAAACCGCTCTCACGGAGTCCATTCTGACTCACGGTGGCAGGGCAGAACTGCTCTTGTGGTCGCTGGGGCTGTCACTGCAGGGGAATGGAAAGACTCATCTTTCTCATGAGGAGTAGCTGGTGGTTTTAAACTGCTGACCTTGAGGTTGGCAGCCCAACATGTAGCCCCCTGTGTTGCCAGTGCTCCTTAGAGCTGTGATAGAGGATGGACCCTTCTCCAGCTTTCCGTTCTGCAGTTTTAAACTGCCCCTTTACCCTCTGCTCTTTCAGTCAGGACTTTTCACTCTTAACGCGGAAGTGCCTAAAAGGCCCACGTTGCTAGAGATCTTTTGTAATTATTTTTGCCCAATACCAAATTCCCTAATGTATCTGTTTTTGTCTGTATGCCTTTGCATTCATTTTTTTCACAGACAGAAACAGCATATAGAACATCCAAGCTTTTCTTTTTCATCTAAGCTTTTCTTAAATCAGTTTTATTGAAATGTTTCATGCCGTACAATTATACCATACAATTCAGTTATTTAAAGTATTCGCTTAGATGTTTTAGAACATCTTA